ACCGCAGTGCATATTTAGAGATTTCAGTGAAAAATCTGCATTTTAGAATGTTCATGTTTCTCTTACATTTTTTCTTTGCTTGGAAATCCTAGTGCCTCTCTGCTTTGGGGGTAAGAATTGAATGCTGGGTTAGGGATTAACACTGCTCTGAGGGTTTTTTTTGTACCACTAAAAGCTACCAAGACTCATGTCAAAGAGAAGCAGCTGGGTAGTGAGGCACTGAGACTGACTTGTATCAGCCTACGGGTACTCCTGGTTGCCAGAATACATATTCAAAAACCACCCTGCCTGGGAACTATCACAATCATCTGATTCTTTAGATCTTAGTGATTCTCTGCCTGAAATGCATGTGAGTAAAGAGAAAAAGCCTGCACCTTTTGTTGTGCTGAATCTACTGACACAATCAGAATAGGGTTGATTTACATGTAGGTGAAGTCCTATTTCGTTAAAGTAGTAGCAGCGATCAAGGGCTGAGCAGATGACACAGCTGTGGGGAGAGGACTGCTATGCCCATTCAAGGGTAAGTTCTTCAGATACCAAGGCTGAGACTCAAACTGCATAGCCAGGAATAAGAAAAAAAAAGTCCAAAGTACTGGTAGCAGCTGAAAAACAGGGCTTATGTGAGCAACTGGTTCTTCTCTAACTATTCAAATGATTTATGCCTTTTGGCATTAAGTCAGCTCCTCTCCTTACTGATGAAAGGTAAAATGCATTGAACACATACTACATTAGCCCTGCCATCCTACTGCTTCATGTTTTGTAACAACATTCTACTTGGACTCTGCCACAGGGCAAAGCAAACAGAGAGTTGCTGACAGAAGCTATCCCATCATCAAGCCGAGTCCCAGTGGACCACAAACAAGGTCAGATAGAACAAACTTACAGTCTCCCACATGGCTCATAGGCTGCCAGGAGAAGTCTGTCCCTCAGGTCTGCTGGGGCACAGCTAGGCTGCCTTTCAGGGACCCAGCCTAGTGGATCTGTTTTCAGTCACAGAGCTTATCAGCTGAGATATACTCTGTTTAGGTAAGTCTTTTTCCTCAGAGCTTCACATAAGCATGTCAGATCAGGGCTAACAGACCCACAGCAGATCATTTCTCTTGGATGTTTATGGTAGGGGGTCACATACTTCACTGTAAGGTTTATTATCCCCTTCTGCTGACTGTCACTGCAGAAAGTAAAGTGGATTACACTTTTAGGTTATAGCTCTCTTTCAGGGCTTAGTTTGGATCCTGCTGCCCCATAGGCTGAAAAAATGCATGAGTGAGAATTGTAGAGAAATATTAAAGAATGTTAATAAAATCACCTACAGATGAATGAGAGACACCATAAAATACATGTGTTTGCCACAGATAGAATGAATACACAGTCCATAAATGAAAATTAAAGCCATTTATGTCTACCACAATCCTTCCTTTCCTTCTCTACCATTAAGAATTCTAGTAGCATGAAGAGGAACTTTCCCTATAACATAAAGACACACAACAGCTACACAGACAATTAATATGAGGCAGCTAAGACAGGTTTCTTGGAATTAGGACAAAATACCCTATCTCCCTACAAAAACTTTGCAGAACTGTCCAGTTCCTAAAGAATATCATTAGAACAATGCTGAGAGTAACATCAGTGTCAGTCCAGGCTCTACAGATCTCTATACTGTGAACTATAGGCATTTTTCTGGTTTCAGTGTAGGTATAACACAAGACTAATTAATTTCCTGTTCCCTCAACATCCCTCCCTTCAAGAGAGATTTGGCATGATCCCTCTTCCCACCACAGGTCCCTGCCACAACTCAGGCCAACCTGCTGGTCTGGAGCATAAAGTTGTCAACTGGAGGACAACTGTGGTAATGCCCCAGATCGTGATAGATAACTCCCAAACCAGCATTCAAAGGTGTCTCATTCGATACTTTTGCTAGGAGCAGTCACTCTCCACAGTCCAGTGTGGAAACTCCCAATGCAGCTTTTGTCCTACTGTTCCTTGCCTCTGCTCTCAAAAGTAAAGCCTGAGAGGTAGATGGGGCATGAAGTTGCTCCATGTGTTATTTCCTAAAGCCTTTGCTCTGTCCTAGCAACCATGGGATTTTTCTTAACTTCTTTCCCTTTAGCAACAGGCCAAGAACCTGTTTTTCTGCCACTGCACCCTGATAAAAATCTCATTACTCAGATAGAAATCTCCCCATCCTACCTTCTAGTCAGTTCTGGTGCACAGATTTATTGGGATGGGGTCTCGTGGGAACTGCTCCCAGTGCTTGTTGAGTTTGTATGGCCATCGCAGAGCAGGCTGCCTCACACCACAGCAAGTTATCATTGATCTCAACTCTGTAAAAGCCGCTGCTTTGCACAGAGGTATGGTCTCTCCCAGTCCACTGAGCGATGGCATCTTGTCCCAGAAGAAGCAATAGCTCAGGGCTTCCACCGAATTCTTGGAACGTGGTGCAAACGGATTCATACACAGCAGCAATCTCCAAGTCTCCCTCAGCCAGAAACATAGTCCTCCGTACACTAAAACCATGATTCAAGCACTGATGGGCCTCAGTAAAGCACCTTTATGTAGGGTGGACCAAATTTGGGAGAACGGGTCAGAAGGCCAGAGATGTGGGGGGAGAGCTTTGATTAGGGGTTTGCATTGCCTTTGCAGTGATCAAAGCACATTGCCAGGATCACTGTGGAAATGAGCAAGTACATTCAGAAACATCACCTTCCTAGAGACAGGGACTCGTGCAGTGAGAGAGCAGCTGTCGAAGTCAGCCTCTCCTTGAGGCAGCAGCTGTGTGATAAATGGTTTGTTATAGAGTTTAGCCCCACTACTCCACTGCAGTAAGAGTGGTGATCTACAGACCCACAACAGAAAGGAAGTGTTCATGTGTTTCTTGAAAACAGATTTTACCCACATAGGCACATAAAAAGAGAATGTAAAGAACCTCAATTTCCATATGAGAAAAGTTTTACTCCTCTAACAGACTTTAAAACATATTTTATAGACATGAAACATATTTTACAGACATCCTGATATGTTAATAAGAATGACTGAGGGTTTCCATTGATTTTAAAAGCTTTATAGAATGATAGAAGAGACTGGAGTAATTCCTTAAGTGATGGATTTAAATTGTAAGTTTATTTATCAGCCATAAAAATAATTCATGAATGACATTTGTCACAGGACAATTCTTTGACAGTTTATGCTATGCCTAATGTCACTGTCTCAAAATTTTTTGCTGACCTTGTGGACTGCAAAGAGACACATTGAGAGCTACAGCAGAATAAGTTTATTGTTTCAGGGATTTTTCTCTTTTTTTTTGTCAATGATTTCTTAAGAGCTCCTAGGGAAAGAGTTGGAACATATGAGAAAGAATAGGTTGATTGAGGATAAACAGCCTAGGCAGCAAAAAGCAATGTAAAGAAGAAAGGACTCTGTAGGGACCAGCTCAGGTGAATACTGGTCATCATCATGTGCTGGAGAAGACGTAGTAGCATTACAAGACTTGTGACCTATTGGGATAAAGGTTTTGGTGAGTAGCAAAACTCCTTAGCAGAGAATTCACTTTGAAAAATAGCAACATACTTTAAAAAAGTTATCTTTCAAGGAAAATTTGGAAAATATATTAATAACTTCAACTGTGTTTTGACCCTGGCTAGATGCCAAGTGCCCACCAAAGCCACTCTATCACTTCCTTCCTCAAGTGGACAGGGGAGAGAAAATATAATGAAAGTTTCATGAGTTGAGATAAGGACAGGGAGAGATTACTGTCAAAGGCAAAGCAGACTTGTGTTGGATTCCAAATTTTTGGATATGAGAAAAAGAAAATTACTAGGTTTAAAGAAAAGCCTTGGGCTGACAGAGACTGGGAAAAAACCTCCATTTAGAGTCCAGACAAGGATCTATTGATGTCACGGGTTTGGAATGTCCTGTCCAAGCCTGGAGAAACCATGCCCTGATCTCATCATACCTGTGCAGAAGAACTTTTGTGTTTTATCTCTCCCTTTGTGTTATCTGCTCCCCCCATGTAATACCCCTAAGATAGGATGGGTTTTCCCCTATGATATAAGTGCTAAGACCAAAAAGTTGGTAATTTAGGATTTCCCCTTTACCTCATCCCTATAAAGTCCCTAATTGTAATAGTTCTGACCCCCGATGAATATGTAAAACCCCCATTGAATATGTAGACCCTACATAAGCCTTTAAATAAGAACTTGTAAGTCCAATAAAGCATTCCAGCTTCTTGCCTCTGCTGGGATCGTCTTAGCATTATTGACCTCTGCAGACTTCACTTGGGGAAATTAAATTAATTTATTAGCAATCAAAAACACAGCAGGATAATGAGAAGTAAAACAAATCTTAAAAACACCTTCCCCCTACCCATCCCTCCTTCCCAGGCACTACCTTCTCCCCCACAGCGGTGCAGGGAGACAGGGAACGGAGTTATGATCGGTTCATCACATGTTGTTTCTCCTGCTGCTCCCTCCTCAGGGAGTCCTACCCGTTTCCAGTATGGGGTCCCTCCCATAGGTAATAGTTCTCCACAAACTTCTCCAGTGTGAGTCCTTCCCATGGACTACAGTTCTTTATGAATTGCTACAGGATGGGTCCCTTCCATGGGGTGCAGTCCTTCAGGAACAGGCTGTTCCATCGTAGGTCCCCCACAGGGTCACAAGTCCTGCCAGGAAACCTGCTCTAATGTGAGTTCCTCTCTCCATGGATTGACAGATCCTACCAGGAACCTGCTCCAGTGTGGGTTTCCCATGGTTCACAGTCTCCTTTGGACATCCACCTCCTACACAGACTGCAGGTGGATCGCTGCATCCCTCCAGGGGTTGCGTAGGCACAGCTGCCTCACCAAGTTTTTCACCATGGGCTGCAGGGGAATCTCTGCTCTGGCACCTGGATCACCTCCTCCCTCTCATTCTGCACTGACCTGGGTGTCTGTAGGGCTGTTTCTTTCACTTATTCTCACTCTGCTCTTCTCTGGCTGCAATTACTTCTGCAAAATAGCTTTTTTTTCCCTTCTTAAATATGTTATCACAGAAGCATTACTATCATCTCTGATGGGCTCGGCGTTGGCCAGTGCCAGCTCCATCCTGGAGCCAGCTGGCGTCCTGGAGCCAGCCCTCATGTGGGACGTGAGGGAAGCTTCTACCAGCTTCTCAGAGGAGCCACTCCTGTAGCCCCACCCGCTACCAAAACCTTGCCATGCAAACCCAATACAATTACTCAACTGGGGAAAATGTTACATTTAAAAATCATTACTTGACGAGATTTTTTTTATAATTTTTTGCTTATTAATTTGACGAAGAATTCCTCATTTACTTCTGAATATCCCTCAGTCAGAGAGTAGTTAGTAGCACTAACTAGCCCATGAATGCGAACACTGTACCCATTACAACTCGTGCCCAACATCAATATGCCAAATAACTCAGCAACTACTTTTTAGTAGGATCAACAATTTTCCCCATGAAAAGTGTAGTGCCAGTTAGCTTGTCAGAAATCAAAATAATGAAGGGCTTGTTGAATTTGATGGTAACAGAAGGATACAGAACTCTGGTAGAGATTACAGCAGTGGCTCCTGCAGCCTCAGATCCAGCCTCATCAACTTCCAACAGGGCCTTGTGAAGTGCCTACAGAGAAAAGAAGAAAACGCTATGGTTCATACATGAGACAGGAAGAAGGAGGTAAAATAAATTCTCTTCCTATAGAATATTTAGGAGAAGAAAGGAGTGATAAATCCAGTGGATGAAACTATTTTATGGTAAATCTCCAACGGTCTGAAACAGGAGTGTTTTCTATGTCAGGACTGAACAAGGAGAGCCAAAAATAAACAGGGACACACTGTAAGTACATTCTCACTAGTGCTGAGTAGAGAGAGATAATAACAGCACATGCACAAACTAGTTTATTTCCTTAGATGGTTAGGACTTCCAATAGCAACACTTTCTCTTATTCCAAAGTTAATGAAACACTGTATTTAAATGCTAATACAGGGCTAGTATTTGGCACCTTTAACATTAAATCATAGCCTAAACTGACATAGCAAAATTCTGCTTCTTCAAACTGAAAATCTCCTGGAAACTTTGAGAATATCAAAAAATTAGGTACTAATATCTAATAAAGATCATAATATACTCCTCATTTACAGTTTACTTGACACAATATCATATAAAATATTATATTCCAGTGCCAAGAAATCATTTAAAGTTGTTCAACTTTTCCATGTACTTAATATCCAGCCTTTTAATAGCAATATTAAAGTAATACAAAAGTGAACCAGAAGATTCCTTTTGTAGAAAAGCAAAATTACTAAGCAAGCCCCTACGTTTCATTGTGAGTTTTACTTATAACTTCAACAAAAAAAGGAGGGGAAGAAAGTCTTTAAAAACCCTAGACACAATTGATCAAAACAACCACCACCCCATCACTAGCACTTACTTGTGAAACCTGGAGATTATGTTTGCCACTAATTCCAGACAGATCAGCATTACCTGAGAACACTTCAGTAATGCCCATTTTCTCAAACAGGTTTTTAACATCGTAAGACCCACTAATAGAAAACTTTGGTAACTGCAGATTTAATCTCCTGTTGATCAAAGAAAACAAAACAACAGTGAGGCATTCCAGGCCTGTTTCAGCCAGCAGGATGGATAGTATACAATTCAGCTACACTTGAAAGAGTTCTTTTGATTGCAGACTTGTTTGATGGTAGCATTTGTATTCCTTGAGCAATCTTGGCATCCAGAGAGATGCTCCATCTTTTTGTTTCTACATTCTCCATTTGATTTTTGTGAAAAGAAACAAATTCCTTCATTCCTACTCATTCATCCCAATGCCACATACACAGCCAGCAGAGTTTTTTTGGCTAGAGAGTTACAGAGAATAAGCAGACTGACTGTGGAAAGCCTAAAATAAGGGAAAAGGAGGAAAAATCTATCATGATAAAATTCATAGTGAAGAAAATGAATTGTAGCCTTTTGACTACCATACCTCCATGAAAGAGGAGGCATGGTAGTCAAAAGGCAGCCAAGCAAGTCTTGAGGCAATTGTTACAATGCTGTGACCCCTTCTGTCTGGTCAGAGAGCCTGCAGTTTCTTAGCAGTTATGCTCTTCTCTGACTCATTTGGGGAATTGCTTATTTATGAAATCGAGGCATTATACCCAGCAGGAGATGATCTGAACTTAGCACTTCCTTTTAAAAACAGTGAATTGTTCTCAAATATAGTAATCCATATACCTAGAGTTACCTGGGCGTAAGTTCGTTATTCCATTTACAAAGAGTTTCCTTGGAGAGAGCATCTTCCACTTGCTTCATCTTTCCATCATCAGGCAGAATGAGCAATGCTCGTGCAGTGCCCTGGTAAGGCAGCTCTATCACCTCGCAGGAGAGATCCTGGTCGTAGTAAGTGTTAGAGATACTGTCATGCTGCATCATGTTGACTCTAACAGATGCATTTGTGTTCACAAAAAAATCATCCTCATATGTACGCAAAGGATCGAAAGACTTTTCCCAGGCAGCTAATGGGGGAAAAGATAAGATATTGCACTCAAACGTGATAATCATAAGAAATGGCTCTTCTAAATTAGACCAACTTAAACGTAGGACAATGGAGGGCTATTTATGGGAGAATATGATCACTGAATAATTTCAACCTCCTGCATAACACACAATAAGGCAATTTTAGCTGTGCAGTAAGCTCAGCATAGTGTGAGTAAGTCCTGTCTTGCTGAAAAACAACAGAAGGCTGATGAGGACCAATTGAGAGTCCTTTTACTGTAGCCATATGTAATGCCTTTTATGCCATTTAAATACAATGACTTAAACATTAAGCCACAGGACCTTCTTCTCATGCCTTTCCTATGAGGCTATGCCCCTACAAAAGCTGATTGTAGTCAACCTGGTGAGGAATTCATCAGCAGAATAAAGGGTCTTAACATTTGAGCAAGCCTCCAGAGACACAGGCCCTCAAAATGCTCTATCCCAAATTTTTGTGCAATGCACCTAGTGGATCTGCCATAAAACTGGGGACCCTATAAAGAGTATCAGTCCACCAAGTTTGACTGGCATGGAGAACATCTTGGAAACATCTTTAGTCATTGTGCTCTCAGACCAATGATACTATGTGCGGTGGATCCCTGTCTATGAGAGGTCCACTAGAGAGGCACTTCTCTGTCTACAGCTTTCAGGTAAACTGGGTCATGATTAAGCAATCAGTATTTCTCAACAATCAGATCCCCTGCTCTTGGCCAGATCTAATCTCTACTTTGAAGGTTCTGCACAGTTTAGTTCTTTCCTAAATAGTCACTCTGGTAACAAATCATCAGGAGTTCTCTAAAATTTTTATTTTGCATCAAAACCATCTATTGGAATATTATGTTAAATATCTTACCTTTAAAATAAATGTAGTTAACTAGAACTAGTACAGTACTTGGTTCAAGATGATCAACTAATTCAGGGATTTTCCCCTTGGTTTTCTCCTCTACATATTTATTGATTTGCTTCTTAGTCTCTTCTGGTTTATGGAAATCGCTATAAAAAAAATCTGCATCATAAAATTGTTTGGTATTTTGCAAAAATGACTCCTGTGGTTCATACCCAGTAGCTGTAAAAATGGCATTCCCTATATTTAATGTGATATTAGCATCAGCACAGTTCAGTACGGATAAAACTTTGTGAAAACTGTCATGTATTTCATGTATGCGAGCCTCAGTCAGATCGTCAAAGCCCAGTCCTCCAAAAATCTGAGACAGGGTGGTTGACTTAGCACCAACAGCCAGCATGGCAAATGCAGTGGAGATGCTCATGGGAGAAAAGAAAACATTTTCATCAGCTTCTTTTGATATAGCCTGCTTGTAAAATCTAAATACAAAATCTGCATAGTTTGAGCCTTGCTTGTCACAGTTATGTGTTAATAAATTTTCTGTTCCGTCTTGCAGATTAGTATTGTTGACTTTATGGCAAATATCTTCATGGTGGCAATGGGATACAGCACAAAGAACAGCAAGGAGTAAACACAGCCACAGGATACACTTCATCTTCTTTTGAAATTATTCTGTCACAAAATAAACAGTCATTAAATGAGCAGATGGGAATGATGTGCTTGGTAGTAAGGAATAATAAATAGTTTGTTATCATAAATATTACGTAGTGCAACTGTAAATATCTAATATACATATGATATTTAAAGTTCTCATGGGTACAATGTCAAATTTAAATAATAAATTCTACCAAGTTATAGATTAAAATGTCAGCATAATAAAACCATCATATTTCATTGTAACTGGCCTGAAAAGGCAATACTTTTCTTCATTATAATACATTGGCTGTGAAAACATAGAGCTAAAGTTCACAATAATCTCAATTAACAATTACATTATTTTCCTATGATCGTTGTCTCCCATAGGGTACATCTAAACAAACAAGTTACCATAAGGGAAGACAGGGTGTGGGTTTCAAAGACATCAAATACTCTACAGCATCTGCCCAAAAGCAATTTGATAAATGTAAGGAAATGTGAGACATCTCGCTACTCACTGGAAGTGGGGTAAATTCCCTCCCCTCCACCAAGGCAGCAGCACAGAGGCAGACAGCTGTCACAAACTATTTGGTGCTTGTTAAATTCACACCTCTGTTTACCTCATGGCCCTGTTCACTTACTCATATGGCCAATCATTGGGCACAGCTGGTGGTGGAAGAAAGGCATGAACTTCAACGCAAAATTCAAGGCAAAAGCCTGGAGCACCCTGTGACATGACAGCAGTGCACACAGAAATGGGCACAAAGACATGTGGGAAGCAGCAGATTTGCATCAGAAAATGAGGTGTATGTTTGGAGTGAAGGAACCTTTCTTTTTTGGTGGCTGCAACAAGTGTTTGTAATTTGTTAAATGATGTTTTGCCCCTCACCAATGAGTTAACTTGCATGGGATATGGGAAAGACCTGGATCCAAGAAGAAGAGGACCATTAATCCCATTTGGAAATCAAAAGACATAGATTAATTTTCTTTGGAGATGGCAAGTTTCTTTGTTATGCTTGTTCTCCTAATGCTGATGTAATATCCTTCATCTGAGTCCTTGCTCTCCACAGGAGCTGGGACAAGTCTCTGGTTTACTGAATTCAGTTCCCTGCTGTTCTGGAGGCATCTCATACAAACCCTCTTCAGAACTGTAACAAGCTATCAATGAAAATAAGCTTTTTGTTCTTATAGCTTCAGCATGAAAATATTTCTAGAACTTTTCTACTGTTATGGCTTCTCTTCTGGTTTCCAGCTAATGCAGCCTGTTTGTGGCCTTTTCTTCCAGGACCAAATTTTCCCGTGTCCTGCCAAGGTAAAGTTGTCTTGGTCCTACATTCATTCCCAGATGTGAATGATGATTGTATTTACTATTTAAACAACATTTAGATGGAGTTTCTGAGGGCAGCCCAAGTTCAAGGATTTTGTTTTATTTTTTTATTGATGATCTTTCTTGTTTTTATAGCAAACGTATACACTAACTGTGTGTTCTCATATTTGCTTAGATCTGAGTATGCTGAGTGTGCCTGAGAGAGGATAGGGTCCACTGCAGTGACCTACAGTAAAAAGTGGTAACACTAAATTTGAATTTCCTTAAACCAAAAGATGGAGTATGGCTCTAGATGGGAATATGATTCAGCTTTTTGCATCTCTTTTAAGCAGAACTCTCCCTGTTCTTCACAGCCAAAAAAACCCCCCAAAACCAAACCCCAAACAACCCTTATGTGGAAAAATGAAGTAATAATGTAGTACACAGGATGTTCCAAAAACACCTGATGTTTAACATCTTGTAGGCCGTTTATCTCTAGGTATTTGAGATATTGCACACTTAAGTGAGAAGATAATTTTTATCTGTCCATGTTCACTTCCTGTGTCCATACAGAACTTAGCCTGACTTTCAAAGAATTTCTGAATCAAAGAATATGGTTTAGGGTTTTTTTTCTGCAGCAAGCTTATATTAGGCATGTCTCTGTTATAGCTTCTACTATAACAGATCTGTTAAAAAACTTTTCTTAGTATCAGTGCTCTCTGTAGAAATCTGAAAGAAATGCTTCTACCAGAAGCTGGAAAACACTGAATATTGTAATCAAGTTTTCCTCCCATACTTTTCCCTTTAGAGATGAAATCGCTTTAATTTCAATGTTTTGAGATTAGAAAATTTCACACACAAATATTTTTGTTAACACTTCAAAGCTGAAGAAATTGGAAAGGCTTTACTAAATCTGGCAGTACTTCTAATGCAAATTGGAAATTCAGAAAATAATTCTCTTCCAGACCACATATTAGTTTGTCTATGGGAATAAAAGGGGTGATTAAATTTTAATTGTGGCCGTCCACCTGCCCCCCGTTACACTCACCCCTGTCTAATTAGAAAGCATGGCCTTAGCAATTCAGTGATTGTTTTTTAAATTAAGTCACTGAAAGAGTTTATAAATTAGACCTGGTTGTTCAGTCAATAGTGGGATTGTACTAATTTTGAGTCACTGTGAAGACTGTTTTAACCTAAAAGGTGATTACATCAGTATTCTGCTTTGACAACTACTTAATAAGTCCCCATGACTTCAAAGGTTATTTTAGTTTGATTTCAGGCTAAGCATATTCCCCCAGAACAGCAGGTCCCACTGGTCCCTTACATGTCTGCTTGATTAATCTTCCATTGCAACATCTGCACAGAACCAAATCACAAGCAGACAAATGAAATTAACCTTATATTAAAATTCCACCAACCACAGAAATCATCGTTTGCAAGTCTCCAAGAAAAGTGCGTGTGTAGTACTTACGAAATCAGAAGCCTCGTTGCATTCAGCTGACCATGTTGTTCCCCACACTGTTACTTATACTAGTACCTCATCTTCTGCTTAATTAGTGCTGTTAAACATTAAACAGATCTGATAAAAATTAGAGCCAACCAAAAAAAAGGAGGAAACAAAACAAATATTGACGAAACAGGTTTGCGAGGGTCATCTCTATTATTCAGCCAAAGAAGCTGACAATCTTCAGCCATTTGAAGAGTAGCTGTGACATTCTCTCTGTTGCCTTTGGCCATGCGGAGCAGATGGGGGCAAACATTGTGTAATTAGGACCCTTCCGGAAACCAGGATGTTGTACCTGTAACCACTGGAAACAGACGGCAACTCTTGGTGCCAGAAGTCAGACTCTCTGTGCTGTGATGAAGTACACATGGAGCCATGTATCACATCAGCTTGGTGCTCTTCCAAAGTCTATCCAGATGCAAAATCTTCTGCCTGATCCTCAGCCTGTGTATGGATGACAAACTAATTGCCTTTACTTTCTCTCTCTGTCTGTAGCTGCATACCACTGAGAGGATATGTGACAGACATGTTTCCCTGATGGATTTCCTACTCTGGCTGATGTGGTCCCTTCATCTATCTCAGTACTGCGTGGACCTCAGTTACTGCCTCAGGCAGGTGGCGGGAATACAAGGAGCAAGCTGTTTACTCCCACATGTGCACATAGTGCATGTGAGCACTCACTTCTCGTTCTCTTTGCCCTCTCACACACTTCTAAATTGTTCAAATGAAAACAAGTACTGCTTGTTTCTATTAACTTTTTCGAATAGGAATTAAGTGCTGATGAATCAAGCTGACTGATTTTTTCCAGTTAACAACAAAGACCATGATTGAGTGGTGACATGAAATACATTTCCCCATTTGAGAGGACTCTTTCCTTTGTACTTGTTTACTCACATGTGTAATTTTGTCATTACAAACATAGATAAACATGGAGACAGAACATAGATAAACCTTGTCTGGACACTCCCCTTCTTTGTTTTCCTCTTTATTTCTTCACTCCAAAACTCCCACCCCCCCAGCTCCCCTCCCCTTTCCTTTTTACTTGTTCCTTCTAATTCTGCCTGTAAAGGTCACAAACACAGAGATTATGTTACTCATCAAAGCCTAGGTGACTGACAGATCACGGTGGTCAAGGATGAACTGTGTTACAAAATGGTTATAAGCCTCTTGTTTTCTCTTTCATTTGTGATGCCTTGTAATTATTGTTTTGTTTTTAATAATGCTAAGCTAAAATTTAACAAGGCATTTCCCTAGCATTTCATTATAGAAGCAGCAATAAGGTGCTACAGCAGCTTGAAACTAAAATGATGAGGACATGCACGCATGCCAGGTGTACCACGCACTGCCACGAGCCATTACAATCCCACCTGTCTACTGACCACAATTTCAGCTCTAAAGCTAAGTCATGAAACCATGTTAACCAGCTTCGTACTGATCATTTATATACTGAACTAGATCTTTCACTCTATTATTTATTTTTAATAGGAATAAAAGTACAGAATACTGAAATAACCAAACAGATGGGTTTTATTCCTTCTGATAATTAAAATCACGACAAAGTCTACATTGCCCAAGTCCGTGTTACTGCTGCGCATTTCATGTAGGTCAGTTTCGATACCACACCCCAACTCATATTTTGACATCTTTAGAAGAAATAGACCCGTATAATAATTCATGCATTTGCTAACATCTTGCAAACATCTTCCTGACTATAGGTTTTGTTTTGAACAGACCATTCCGAAACAGGTTTAAAGAGTTCTTAATTAACCAATGACTGGTATATTCGATGGCAACAGAACCACTCAACTTGTCCAGTGTTCAAAGAAAATAAGAGATTTTTTGTCAATTTAGCAACAATAATAGCTGCTCTGGGATTACAGCTCAAAGACACACAGGTTACTTCAAATATAAAAAAATCTTTATCCCTATATACCTATTATAAGTTACACAAAGATTTGCAAGTGTAAGGTATATAGATCACAAGTATATTAACCTAGCAGCAATATGAAGGAGATGGAGTATGGAATTAGGAAGAAAATGGACATTACCTTCCCTTTCATTCCCTCACTGGTAGTTCTGAGTTATGCAGAAGTCTTTGGGAAGGATCAGGCAGTCAGAGTACAGGGAGAATGTTAAGATCGAAGATGTCTGCATATCTGATGAACTGTGGTTTTTCTAGTCTGGATGACATATACAGTGAAGAATAAAGGTGCAATCTGCACACAGTGGTCATGCCATGCTCTCGATACTTATCGAAGAATCTCTTCCACTGTCCTGTCAGAAAGAAAAAATTCAATGGTTTAGAGAGGGACTGTGAAATGAGGATGAAATATAGTCTATATACAGTGAAAAAAGCCATTCACAAGAAGAAGGAAATTCTGCTCACAGAACTTTTTTTTTCATCTGAATTAGTATCACTCATATGAACTAAGTAGAGAGCAGGGACAAGAATTTTTAAAAAAAATTACTATACCAATGGCAATCACCAATAGTGAACACTCATCATAATTTTTCAGTTTCAATGCCAGTTGCAAATTATACAGTAAATGTAGCAGGTGTGTTACATGTATGGTGCACCAATAACTGAATCTCCTACTGCTGCTTCAGTGTGTGCAGGTTGGCAGGCATGAGACAAGACCAATAGAAGACTTGAGACCTCCTGTAAAAGGGGCAGGAGAGTAGACAGGTTGCTTTAGCATAAATACCCGTTATGTAGGCCCCAGAATCTTTCAAAAGAAGGCCTGTTTTTCATTATTTCTACATGTAACATCTTTACCATGGACTTTCTTTTCAGACTTGAATGTTTCTGCAATACTAATATTAGTAACGAAAGAGCTTGCTGAGATTTAATATCTTGATGATTTCCAGCGGGGGTACTGTGGAAAAAAAAATTTATTCTGTTTTATTTTCCTCCTAACCCCCAAAATAGATGAAAAAAATACTCTTACTGACTTTAAAGATCTCCAATATATTTTCCATTGCCCAAGTACATTTCAGGATACTAAAATGATTTCAGGCTGGGATAGACCACCTGCTGAGAGAACCACTGGACTGAAAATTAAGGATAGATGGCTATCTCTGTTGAGCAGCTCAGTTTTGACCTTGGGAACATCACTGGTAGGTTTCAGTCTCCTCATCTGTAAAATAAAAATGACACATCAAACTTTGTCATTGAGATTAGATGGCATGAAAATAAAAAGTTACTTTCAATGGCCTTTAGCATCGCTTTAGTTCTTATTGAGGTTAATGAAGACAGGATAAGTTTTTATCAGTTTGATTCCAAGGTACCTCCCTTGGTAACAGTGACACACAGTCTGAAAATCTGTGGTCTGCAGATGCAGCTTTATGCAGCTTCAAAGTGAAAATGGAAATGTTTCTGAATTGCAAGCTTCCAACACTGCACAATCCAGTCCTTTTACCAAAAATTTTTCTTTCATGATTAGAAGATGCAAATACAAGAACTTTGTACAGGGAAAGAGAGAAGGATAAGACCATTGTGCTAACTGAAATTTTTTTTTAACATTTTGATTTGACCCAAGCATATGCCAGCAGGGGTTGCTTCACCTGAACCCCTTCATCTGCTGCCCATCCAGTACTGTACTTTTAAAATCATATTATTTACCTATGATAAGGCCTGAATCCTGCTCTGACTGTGTAAGCTAAGAAATGAAGGATGATCAGCTTTAGTGGGTAGGTATAAGCAGCAAAGAAGCTAAGTTTCTACAGAGTGAACCAGTAACTGAGCTGGAAAGGGAAGTAGAAACTCCCAAGTCCCAACCCAATGCTGTGTAACTACTAGCCTGTCCTTTCCTAATAATGTTCTTGCGTTAAAGAAATAAAGAAATTAATCAATTAATTATGGGTTTCCAACAGCAATATAGTACTTAAAATTTTAATAAATATGTGTCTATACAACATGAAAATGTAGTTAACAAGAACCATCCCAATGAGTAATTCAAGACTTAAGCAACTAACATTATTCTGAAAGCCTTCATTAAAAAGTTCTTCCTCACCTTCCCATTTGATCCACTGACCCTGCTATCTGGGACCATCTCATCTGAATTGCTTTCTTTACCTCCTTTGTACTCCTGAGCGATACTTAATCAAGTGTCTACCTTTAACTGTACAGCTGATCAAATAAGGTTGATCAAAGTGGATTGAAGTAAACAATAATGACATTATTCTGTGACTCAGAAGCTCAGCTGTCCAAGCATACCATATGGATTTTGGCTAACGCACAAAGAAAAGACCCAGAAAGTGGTCTTGCAAGCAAAAGAGTCAGTTTACCTTGTTTATTACACCTTGTCAGTCTCCCTACTCATACAGAAGAGCTCTGTTGAAAATGAGGGTACAAACATAGGAATCCACCAGCGAACAAGAGCAGAAGGAAGGCAGGTTTCAATTTTATTTTGAATGGATATAGAGTAGATCAAATTTTGCTGTGGTCACTAGTTTTAATTACATTGGGAGAAGATTTAGCTCAACATCACATAACTTTTAAAAATCCTACTCTAGATCAATATTCAGACAACTTCAACAAAGTCATTTTTCTCTGTAATCAACCATTATACAAACATCTTAAATCTATTAGTTTTAACAGAAAATTTTTTGACTTGTAACTGTTTTGATACAGATGAAGGCTTCCCTACCCCAAACCTGTTGATACTCTGTCTAATGTTGGCTCCTACGTACTGTTATCTCCACTGATATCCTTTTCCTACCTTTCTTCACATCACCCACAGTCACTTGCAGACCACTATCATCTTGGCACACCATTCCTCTACTCCTGCTTCCTCCATCAGCTTTGAGAGCAATGGCAAATAGAGCCTGTTGAAGAATCATGAAGGAAAGCATTCCCAAAGGAGTCACAGCAAGCCCCTTCAACAAAAGTCAGCCTCTGGGGACCAGGGAAAGCCCAGATGGTTTTCACTAAATACCCAGGTGTCTTCTTCCATAGAGCAGCAGAGCATTAAGGCACTCCTAAGGCTGGGGTCAGCAAGAATGGGGCTCAGCCGTAGAGAGCAAAAAGGTTAATCAGGTCACAAGAACTTCTAGGTGACAATGTCCTGCT